AATACAAATTAGACACATGATTTCTAAATTGAGCATTCTGATTAAAATCTTAGAGAAACCCCTGTTTCTTATCATTCTTGTGCTTTGATCATTTTGATCAGCAGTCATAAATCTCAAAAATCTGACTTTAATATCAAAAGACATGGTATGAAAATTTGGAATAACATGCCTACTGAGTTAAGAAATTAAAACAACTTACAACTGTTTAAATATAAATATAAGAAATCCCTCACTGCTAGCTATTGATATAAAATATAATGTTTAAAATAATTAATATTTAATTATTTAATATTGTTAATTTTACTTGTATGTTTTTTTGTATTTGATCTCTTTATTTGTATTTTTAAGTTATATATTTTACATATGGAACAAAACATATGTTACTATTGTTTAATTGGTTTCAGTATACTTTTTAATTATTATATTATTGCCACAAATTGAAGTGTTAACGATAAAAGCTTTTAGCTTCTAGTTAATTTCCTTCACATGCCACAAAATTTTTTGCAGTATTGTATTTTTTTTTTTATATTTTATTGTGAGAAATAAATGATTGATTAATTGATTGATTGATTGATTGATTGATTGTGCATGGCCATAGCCCCATCTTGAATCCCGCTCAACTAATATCTCAATTCCACAGTTCATGTGCTTCAAAGTTTTATGGATATGTCATTTTTATTTTTAGGAAATCAATAAAAATACTCAGCTGTGCTTGCTTGCCAAGCATTGTGTGCTACATATTATTAATAGAACGTTTGCAATGTGCACAGGTTTCTGTCGTTCACTGTATAGATATCATAACCATAAAGATATTTTTTTTATTTTTTATTTTGAGTATTCCAGTAGCCATAATTATTGATACAAGTTCCTGATATTTCCACGGGCAAACTTTACCTCATTTAATTTTTTTACATGCATATCCCACTATCATGTAGAATATACCTTAAACCACAGTCGGTGTTGAGGGACTGTGCTTAAACCAAATATATTTGACTCGGCTGAAGCTAGCAGATACTCCCAGCAGACAGTGGAAGCTAGCAGACACACTAGCAGCCACAGTCTATCAGGCATAACATTTGACAGTTATTGATTATGTACAGAATGTAACTGTAACAAGCTAAACATGATTTTTGCTTGTTATTTATTTATTCAAGATTGGCATCATTTTACGGGCATGAAATAAGCCACGTGTTTCCACCGCCTTTTGGTGAATACGTACAGTACCGTGAATCGCACGTTTTAGGGGTGTCAACAAAAACAATCGAGAGAGGTGGACCCTGGTCACGTTCATTCATCCTTCCCTCATCTTGACTTACCGTCACTATAACTCTCTTTTCCTTCACTGTCCTGCAGCCCAGGGAAGTCAGCTCCACCTGCATCATCCAAGCTCATAACTAGATCGATAAACTTTCATAAACGGCAAACAAAGTAGGTGAAAAGTATAATAATTGACAAAAATATAAGAATTCATTAAAATTACCAGCTGGGCACCGCCATTTTGCGCAATGCATCTCGGGAAAACAAGCTTGTTAGGACACATCCGTAATGGCGGTAGCTTCAAAACAGTGAATTTCGTTCTCGTGCAGGTGGGTCGTTTTTCTCTATAAGTTTAACTCAGTTCTGATATCTCATGTGTCCTTGTTGTTTGTCACAATGTAGGTGACAGCCAGTTGTTTTGTTTTTTTTGAGCTGTCGGTGTTATAATCGTCTCGAGCAATAAGTTTGAGTTGACGATCAGTCTTATTTATCACGCATGAGCATGTGTGTCGACTTCCTGATTTTCTCGATGGTTGTTTTACTAAACTGTTGTTTGAGGAGTGGGACAGATGTAGGTGCTGACTGTATTATTACTTTTATAACTGCCCAGTGACAGTTTGCTATATTTTCATTCCTCAACGATGCATGCATTCAAATCCAGGAAGTAAGTTACATTTTCGACAAACCACAAATTCAATTTCCTTTTGACAAACTTGTACACTGGTTCAGCCCACGGTTACTAGCTTAGTTCAGCATAACTACTGTCATTGCGCGAGTATGATCAAAAGTGAACCAAAATACTCGACACGAAGCATACAAGTTCACAGGGGCCTGACGATCTATTCGTGTCAATACATGGACGTCTATGGGGCGGAACGAATATGTCACGGTGCA